AGCCGCGCTCCCTCTGAGACCCAGCGCTGGGCAGCGGCTGGAAAGAAACCTAGGACACTTGGGGAGGAACTAACCTGTCTGAAATCCAGGCGAGAGCTGGAGGGCAGCTTTCTCCCAGGCAGAAGAGCTGGCAGAGGCCATTGCTCCTTTGGGAGCCCTCCTCCCACACAGCCGGCAGGCAGGTGCCGTATTTGAACCTCCAGCCCCGTGATTCCCGGAGGCCCCGCCCCTCCCCACCTGCAGGCTCATCCAGGCCATTTGGGTGGCTTTTCTATGCAAGTGGCCTCTTGAGCCTCATGTGTAGAACTTTCCTAAAATCTCTCAAGCATCAGCGTGCCCCATACGGCTTGATAAGTCGCCCCAGGTCTGGCACTAGCGGCAGCCTGCATTGGCTCATAGCTGGGCCTCTCCTGGACACCTCCAAGCCCAGCACAACTAGCAGCCAATGACGGTTTGCTGTGTAGCTCATGCTGGGTGGCCCTGGGCAAGGCACTGGCACAGGCTGACTTTGCACCTCCGCGGAGGCCCCAGAGACAGTGTACCTGGTGGTCAGACTCGACCACACTGGATTACAACCCTACCACATCCACTAGTGATACACTCAAGGGGTGCACTTGGTGAACACCAAAGCTCCACTGAAGTAAATCCTGCTCCATAGGGGTGTCTCCAGTACAGTAGCTTTTGGCTGCAGTTGCAGCTGGTCCTCACAGCCAATTGGCCTGAGGGTCAATTCCTCCCAAGGACGCCAACAGCAACCAAAGCTCAATTGCAACAGGAAAGTGCACACAGCCCACATAAGGGAGCACCTAGAAGGCCCAGCTCAGGTGACTGGGGAGGCTGAGCCACTGGACCCTACAGGACAGCTACTACACAAAGCCACTCTACCAATTCCAGGAGACATAGCAGCTCTACCTAATACATAGAAACAAACACCTGGAAGCAGCCAAAATGTGGAGGCAAAGAAACATGTCACAAAGGAAAGAACAGAAGAAATCTCCAGAAAAGGAACTAAGTGAAACAGAATCAAGCAAGCTACTAGATACAGAGTTCAGAATTATTGTTATAAGGATGCTCAAGGATCTTCGTAAGACTATTACGAAAACAAGTGAGACCATTGGTGACATAAAGTACCAATCAGAAATGAAGGCTACAGGAACTGAAATGAAGAATAATTTACAGGGAATCAACAGTAGAGTAGAGGACACTGAGAATCAAATCAGCAATTTGGAACATGAGGAAACAAAAAACACCCAGCCAGAAGAGAACAAAAAGAAGAAAGAATCCAGAAANNTTCAAGCGGCCCAACATTCATATTATTGGGATGCCAAAAGGAGAAGAAACAGAGCAAGAAGTTGAAAACCTATTTGAAAAAATAATGACAGAAAACTTCCCCTACCTGGGGAAAGAAAGAGACTTACAAGTCCAGGAAGCACAGAGAGTCCCAAACAAGAGGAACCCAAAGAGGCCCACAGCAAGACACATCATAATTAAAATGCCAAAGGGTAAAGACAAAGAGAGAATCTTAAAAGAAGCAAGAGGAAAGCAGTTAGTTACCTACAAGGGGGCACCCATATGACTGTCAGCTGATTTCTCAACAGAAACCTTGCAGGCCAGAAGGGAGTGGCAAGAAATATTCAAAGTGATGAAAAACATGGAACTACAACCAAGATTACTCTACCCAGCAAAGCTATCATTTAGAACTGAAGGTCAGATCAAGAGTTTCTCAGACAAGGAAAAGCTAAAGGGGTTCATCACCACCA